TATATATATGTATGTTGTTTTTTTTTGCACACCTGTAAGATGCAGAGTGACTTAAGAGAAGACAATGTAGCTGCATTGCAGCGTGCATGTGAATGAGTTACATCAGCGGGCACCCAACAGCTGAAGTAAGAAGAAGCCGAGTGAAGATGATCAGGAAAAGATGTCAGCGGCAGCAGAAAGATCAATAAAAGATAGTATGGACCTCGCATACATGGAGATGGGCACACTAGGGGCTAAATCTGCCATAATGTGCAGCATCTTTATTAATACAAATGTCTTCATAGATACAAATGGTTGATGAATTCTGACACAAAGACAGCAAACAGGGAGCTGCAAACCTCATTCTGTTTGCCAAGTCTATATACAATCAGCCCCCTTTGCCCTTATCAGAAAGGTTACTGCGTAAACATTAATGAAGCAGCTAGGAAAACTCAGTTAATTACATCCTGAGAATACAATTAATCATTTTCATTGCATAATGCAGAGTGTATTATCTGTTGCCACGTGACTTTCTTTTTTCACAAGTTGAGAAAGGGTGCCCTTGTATCCAGAAGGGAAAAAAAAGCAAAACACAAGGAGCTTCGTAAGATGATCCAACATTTCAAGGACACCCAAGCATTAAATACAATTCTCTTTCTATTCTGTACTGGTAAGTCAAAATGTTCCGTCCTTGAATAATCATTCATTTTGTTTTACTACGTGTCATAACGGTCAGGGAAGTCTGTAAGATACATTATCTTTTATTTGGATGGAAGGAACAGATGCAGAATACTTGAATACAGAGATCGGTTGATAAAGCATTCTTGAGAATGCATTGATACCTGGTGTTCCTAAAGCATGCATGTATATCCCCTTTACCCCCGCTCTCAGGCCCCTTTAGGACTAACAATCACTAAACAGGTTTATGCAAGTCGATGAATTGCTCCGAGGTTCCTGGAAAGCTAGGATTCACTTTAAGGACAAACGGGACTAGTTATGTGAACTGGTTTACAATAAAAAAAAAAGAAGTTAACACGTTCATATCCAGGTCCTTGATAGCACAAAATAAGAAAATATACAACATCATTATATGGGCACTTATATGACAAGGTGGCGGGGATTTTCTCCAGGTGACTAAGGCAAAAAGAAAAGACACATTTCGATTGGATGCCACTTGGTGACCAGAGTTCCCCTCACATGTGGCCAAATGTTTCTGACCATCACACCTACCAATATAGCGGAGAGTAGGTGGATACCCCTACAAATTATTGAGTTCAGATGCTTCCAGTGATCGGTAATGCTTTAGCATACCGAGACATTTTAGGCAATTGTGTGCTTCCAACCTTGTGGCTAGTGGTGTATTTTGGTTTGGGGCTGCCCTAGACAAGACGAAACTAGGGCACCCCTCCACACTAAATCTGAAGGATCTCAGGGGGGCTGTGCAGCATTTGTGGTGGGCTCTGCCATAGAACCCACCACAGATCCTGCAAAGCTCCCCTGAGACCCTGCAGAGCCCACCACAGATCATGCACACCCCTCCTGAGACCCTGCAAATCCGTGCAGGATGTGTGGTGCTCTGCCCACCATAGACCCCACAGAGCCCACCACAGATCCTGCACAGCCCACCCGACACTCTCAGGTGCGCTGTGCAGAATCCATGTTGGGCTCTGCAGGGTCCCTTTAGCAGCAGTCTGATCCTCTTACCTGCTGCTTGGTCCCCAGCCTCCTCCACCGCTGGACTGGTGCTGTAGGACCCGGCCTCCTCCGCAACCCGACCAGGCTTCCTATGGCGTGATGGTGCCCTGACCCCCCCCCCTCCCCTGCTTCTCTGCCTTCTGGCCGACTCCGTCTTTTGATGCCGCCTCCTCTCGGCTGCCTAACTCTTATGGGGGCAGCATTTTTGCCACTCCCCTGAAAACTGCCACCCAAGTCAAACGCCTTGTTTGACTCACGGCAGATATACCCCTGCTTGTGGCAACGGTCTGGTGAAGGCCCTTTTCTGTTCCCGCATGACTGAGCCCCTATGCACAAAGCAGTCTCCATGAACATATGGTTTAATGTTGGTTTGATGGTTCAGAGTTTGATGTGGGGGAACACAATTGTTCTGCACAAAGTCATGACCCCAACGATACTGAACACCTTTGGTATCAATTGAAATGTCAGCTGAAAGCCAGGTCTTCTCCTTCAACATCAATACCGGACTTCTCAAATGCTCCTTTGGCTGAATGTACACAAATTCCCACAAAAACATTCCAAAATTTTATAGGAAGTATTCCTAGAAGATTGGAGGCTGTTATCATCACAAAGGGGGCTGACTCCATATTGATTCCCATGGTTCCGAAATGGGAAGTCCAGATCATAGAGGTCTGATGGTCAGGTGTCCACTAGTTTTTGGACATGTAGTATAGGCATTGTTTAAGCACCACCAAAAAAAAAAAATCCTGCCCACTATAACCACCCAAGTCAGAAGCCCCTCCAGAAGAGCTGAAGGCTAATTTGGAAACTTCCCTGATGTGGTGTTTGCCAGATTGCCTATTTAGACTTTCCTGACCTCATTTGCCCATTAGACTGGAAGCATTTTTCAATAAACTGGAAGAGCGCCGGTTTAATCCAGCCTGTGACATGTGATTGAGTGAAAGCCTGCGTAGCTTTCTTCTTTAAAAGCTTTTTATTACAAACTAATCGGAAACTGGTCTTCAAAGAAACATTCACAGCAGGGGCTTTCTCCTGATCTACCTGTGCCGTAATCACGTTAAAATGTAACAAATGGCAGAATAAAAGAATTCCTCTCACAAATTAAACGGTTAAAAATCTTAGCTGGATAGTCTACATTCTGTAGGTAGAGAGATGAAGAGACCATCCTCTGCAAAAAAAGAATAAAAAAAAAAAAAATGAATCGAGAACAGAGAGTAAAAATCACTAGTTGAAATGAGCAAAGAGAAGAAAATGCACTCAAGGGGCAATTTAGCTCCACAATCTGTTTTCTTGGGTTGGATAATTGAGATTTTGCTTGCATTTAATGTTAAATTGATGTCTTCTACTCATTTTAAAAGGAATAAAAAGCCTTTGAAATGTTAAAAGCCGCGCTACTGGGCGTAAGTCCTTTCCCAACCTAATTTCTAAGATTGTAATTAAAAAAATCCTAAACTAAAACCCATGTTTACTTACCTTTATCCATGGTCACGTGATGTCTGGGTCTTTTATTTTCATCACTGCAGAGGAGGATCCTTCTTTGGGTGTCTATGTCACTGACTTGATAAAAAATCAAGACTCACTATTGCCTGTGCAGTTGGTTCCTCTTAAGCTTCAAGAGACTGTACTGCATAACGGTGTAATAAACTGGCGACCGGTCGAGCACAGATCGCCAACTAAGCATTCTGTATGCGAAATGCATCACGTTCCTTATCTTGAGACGTGCATTTGTTTATAATAAACCTTGGTCTAGCAGTAAGCAGCATGGATCCAACTCTTTGGATGCTTTTATGATAAAAATCATGTTCTTGGTTTATTATTGTTTTAAAAAACCCTGTTTCTATGTATAGTTTGTAATTTTCACAATGCAAGTCTTTGAGTCGGCTGACTCATTTAAAACAATTCCCTCCTTGTGTGTCCAATAGCTACATCACTAAAATACCAAAGGAGCTTTAACATGTTAATTCATTTTTATTATCTTTGAATCTGCCGTTTTCATTAAAAGAATAGCTGGTGATCATGCCATCAAGGTCCTCGTAGAGGCACTATCTTTTTTAGGGTCTCAACGCTTTGTCCCTATCTTCCAATTGTGTTTCTGTGTTGTCACCTTGTCACATGGTGTGAGGGTGACACCGCCTTCCCTGAGGGGCGGAGTCTAAGTAACAGCTGGTGTTCACCAGAGCTCCTGATGGTGGAGATGGGCTTGGCTGCTTGCTGGTACCAGGTTGCAATCCCTAGGGATGGACGAGAACAGGAGGGCTCCAATGAGGAGACAGTAGTCAGATCCAGGCAGAGTTCAAGGCAGGCAGCTAGCAGAGAGTGGGCAGATGGTCCCAGGTCAGCCACGATTAATCAAAGAATAAACGCAGGAGACAAGAGCAAAGTCAGGTCCAGGCAGAAGATCAGGGCGGGCAGCAAGCGAAGAAGGGTCAGGTGGTCCAGGTCAGCAACGACAAAATAACAGAAGTATAAGCTCTTAGACGAACAGGAAGCTGGCAAAAAGACACAGCACCTTGCTGCTCCTTGCAGAGCTAGTGCTTAAATATCTGTCAGTCAGAGACGACATGACCAGCCTCAGGGTGCACTGGAAGTCCTGGTCTGGAATCTTTTACTATTACTAGCCATAGTGGCCTGGACCCTGTGAGATCTATTAGTAGCGGATCTTCTGGAAATCCTGGCTGGGATTCTCAGAGGAGAACGGTAAACCCTGACGGGTACTCTGAGCTTACCATAACACATGGGCTTCCGGTGGAACCTCCATATGGTCGTTTCAACACACATTACACCGGCACAGTCCACTGCGGTCACCATCAGAAAACCCACCCTGAAATATGCCACGCAGCCAACTCTCGACTGCATGTAGACAGGAGTTGGCTGCAAAAAGGCTGCATGAGATGAGCAACATTGAGATGCAACATAATGAAAAAAGAAATACAATGAGCAAACGAAAGGCCATTCAATTAGGGGGTTACGTCTGCAGTTAGTCCCAACCTACTCTTTGGTCTCTGGTCTTTCCCAGGTCAGGGTATAAGCAAACTGGTGGAAAATCCTTGCTTAAACAGCAAGACATGTGCAATATTGGGTTTAATTCTGTACCCTGTCAATTGTTGTTATGAGTTTGTTTTATACAATTACATTGATGTGGAAATGCAGACTTTGGGAGCATGGAAGAAAATTAGTCAGAGATTTAAAAAGATTCCTTCAGAACGTAAGTTCCTGGAGCAGCGAATTGGTGCACCTTTGGTTGAGGTAGAATGTGAGAATATTAGGGTGTCCTCAAACCTGAGAGATCCTATTCAAACCTCCAGTATTTGAACCAATCAACTTATATCTGATCCCTGATTCACTTACATAGGTCAAAAAATACAAGCAATAAAAACCCTCCAGACACTTACAGGTATAAGGAACTTCTTGATTTCTTCCAAAGCATGCCCCATCCTGGCATAGGCTTCTGCCGGAGGTGCAAAGACCTCAATGAGCACGTGAAGGTCATCATTAAGATGGAAGTATTTTGCTTCTCCACTTTTTCTGAGCTCTTCTTCCTGCAGCAGGAAATAGAAACAAGTTATCTTACTATGCTAAATCACCCAAACTATAGAAACATTGTTACTGGTTTCCAAAAAAAAAAAAAAAGCTCAATGAAGACTAGTCTAAAATACAACCAACAAAAGTTTTACTCTTTTCTCACGTTCATAACAATGAAGCAGTAGCTGACAACCTAAAGAAGGTCTATTCTCACCCCCTACAATGACTGATAGCACAGCCTGTATAATAACCGGGGAGGCTACTACTGCATCATGGGAACTAATCCTCTTCTTCTGGTTTAGCTATGACATATTCATTAATGTAAATGCTCTTTTTAATTCAAATTCTTTGCACGTGGCTTTTATTATTCCTTTAAAAGGTTGCTTGTCTGAATATGCAAGGCAAGGTTACATTAAAGGTGCAAGTTCAGATGTAGAGTATTAGAGGTGATTGAAGTGTATGTATAGCTAAAACATATCCAGTAACCGGCCACAGATGCACATGCTCTCTGCCTTCTCCCCTCCAAGCATACAAATACAGAACCACACTCCACTGTGTTTTTGCTGAACTGCAACAAGTTTTATTGGTACCAGATAGGTCAGATACATTCTCTCCCTCATCAGAATTGACTGATGTGTTTCACCCAATGGGCTTAATCGTTGGATGACAAACAAAGCAGGTGAATCTCCCCGGAGAAACGGACCATAATAAAAAAAAATAAAAAAAAGGTTCTAACACTTCCCTACTCTATCTAAATAAAAGTTTTAGCTAATGATACAATTTAAGAACCTGTCAGCCATTGTAAACTTAAAAATCTGTGCAAAAACAGGCACTGAGGGGTACCTGCTATTAACTATACAGGTCAGATAACTCTTCTAGATGTGCTCTTCTGAAAATGTCTTCACTTAGTTACAAAAGGCTAACGTTCTCTGATTTTAAGCCCCAACCATCTGCCATCCTCCATCCAATGCAAGCTTTGAGGAACTCTAATTAGACAAGGAGGTGGCAGGTGGGCAGAGCTTAGTCCTAAAGTCAAGGAAGTCAAGCCAAAATGAAACCAGGTTCAGAGAGACAGACAAAGGTGAGTCTTCTAGGTTATAATGGGGATCTTTTTATATTTGCTCTGAGCCAGAACTTTTGAACTTTGAAAGAACTGACAGACTCACATTGAAGGGCTTTCAGGACATCTGATATGCACATAGTTGTCCAGGTTTACTACTAAGCAGTAAACCAAAGTTTAGGATGATAACCTTTGTGCATGGACCTTTAAAACAAATGAGCTATGAAATTGCTGGCCTGGCGCGTTATTGTAAAGTGCAAAAGTTGTGATATAATTGTAAAATTAGATTAATATCTAAAATAAACATTAGTAATAATGATGGTGAACACATCAAACAAAAGCAATTGAAATAGGTCAACACAACAAATGTTATAAGTGGTTTTCCCAAATGCAATTGAAAATACAACTTTTAATGTCTTCAGCACTCTCTGGTATGTCTGCAGCCTGTTCACAACCTGCAATAGCTGATAACAATTAATAATAGGTTTCTGGTGGTTTTGGATTTTGGATTGAGCATGACTTTACCTTGGCTTTATCCCTCATGGACCCCTTTCCCAGTATGGACATCTTTGTCAGTGTGTCTTCTTGCAATCTTTTTAAAGAATTGCCACGGGGACCCAAGAGTTTACCAACAAAGTTAAACTGTAGGAAGACAAAGAAAAAAAAAAGACTTGTAAAAATGGCAATATGTAAGCAATATCCTTTCACCAATTTCAGCAACACGGCGTAATAAAACCAACCAATTACTGGCAGCTTAGCTGAGGCTGCTCTGTGATCTACAGAGTACAGATAGAGGATTCAGAGTGAGCCGGCTGACAAGGCTTGGCATGAGGCCCATCTGACACAGCATCCAAACCTCTACGATAAGGTCGCAGCAGAGAGGTGAATCCTGCCACAGAAGGATAATAACCCAAGCCAATGTGCACACAGCAAGACCACTGCTCATAAGGTTTAATGAAAATGAAAAGCAGTGGGTAAGGAAAGGAGGGGAGGGGGGTCTGTGCCAGAGCTGCAATTAGAGCGGGCAGATACAAGGAAGGCTTCCGTGACCTCTTAAAGTGGACCTTTCAGTCACATTAGAAACCTGCATGAATACATTCCTGATATGTCATAGTGTATAACAACAGGACTGGATGATGTCTGAACAAAGATTGCTCCATCCTGGGGAAAAAGCAGATGAAGGCATTGTCAGGGGAAGCACGGAGATGTCTTTGAGAGGTAATAAATATCTGGAAGTGTAACACATACACATTGCTTGGCATGTATGCACTTAACATGAAGAAAATATATCTGATGTTAGGTCTACTTTAAAGAAACCCTGTCAACAATTTAAAACTCCCGAAAGGTTGTACCTGTAAAAAAAACAAAATTGGCCATTTGAAGTCTTTCTCAGAATCTGATGCTTCAGAAATGGTTGATGTCCCGGTCCCATGCAGTGCTCACTGGCTCCTCCAACTGACCACTGAGTCATTACTGTGTCCTGTGGTGATGTGGGGGTAAGCAAGTGGAACCACAGAGCACTGCGGAGGCCTATGAGAGTAGCACTGCTGAACGTCTTAGTTTCTGAATTGAACTTCAGCCAGCAATTTTTCAATTCAGCAGCGCAGGCCGGGTCTTCAACATTACTGAACAAGTCCAGCTGAATGTGACTAACTACTACTAGTGGACACCAATATAGCATTACCACAGAAAGGAAAGCAATTTATCTGTGAAGGTTCTCATCTATCCAGGTTGTATAGCTAGTAGTAGTTAATCACATTCAACTGGACTTGTTCTGTAATGCTGAATAGGTTTCTTAGCTGATCCAAGCCACTTCTTTAGTTCTAATGAGTGTACATCCCCATTATTTTTATCCACACAGGAAGCACGGACACCATAATCTCATCACCATGGAATATATCAATGCAGGTGTTGTTGGAACAGCCATCCCTGAACAGGTGTGGGGGCCTTTAACACCATCTGTCTTCCACAGATAATGTAATTTTAACAGCTCTACCCCGAGGATTTAACAATTCCCACATTCAGCCATGTAAATCAAATGATTGTAGACTTCCTACCACTGAGGGCAGAAAAACTAATTCCATGGTGATTCGATTAGTGTGTCTTTACTACCCGTGTGAATATAAATGCTGGGTTATGTTCCTGACCCTTAGAACTGAAGTGGCTTGAGTAAGCTATAAAATATATACAACATTAAAGGAGAACTATGGGGTTAAGGCTTTTCCCCATAGTTCTCCTTAGGGTAACGGGAGGACACAAACTAGCGTCCTCCCGTCACCCTAGGCTCAGTATACAGCGAGCTGTAGCTCGCGGTATACTGAGACGCCGCAGCTGAAGCGGATCACGACAATTGTGCCGGGATCCGCCCAGCTGCGTGACTGACTGACTGACTGACTGACTGACTGACTATCTAGAGGCAGAGCCAGCTGTACCCGCCCCCTCCCCCGTCCGTTCCGCCAGTCAGCACTGGAGGATCGGAGCGGGGAGGGGGGAATCCAGCCCCTCCCCTGTCACGGCAGAGAGCCGTGACAGGATCGAGAGGTGAGCGAACGCCGGTATGTGTTCGCTCACCTCCCGATCTACTAACCTGACTTGCGACAGTCTCATTGTCACAGGTCGGCTAGAACTATGAGGTGAGTGAAAAGCACTCACCTCATAGTTCTCCTTTAAAGAACAAGCCCAGTTCCATGTGATTACATACTACTTCCTGTTCCATGACCTGGATAAATTATGTTATATGTAGAAAGCAGATGGTGCTGAAGGCCCCCAGCCTTGTTCATGGATGGGTATTCCATCAATATCTAGCATGATTGAATTAGGGGTCTGTGCTACCTGTGTTTATATAAATACTTGGGCATGTTTGTAACACTTATTAAAACTGAAGAGGTGGCTTGGACAAGCTTTGAATTGTCTCTAACATTAAAGAACAAGTCCAGTTGAATGTGACTAACTACTACTAGTGAAAACCAATATAACAATTCCCGCAGGCCTTTGTCTACATTCTTTTTACATTCATCACCTTGGGTCTCACACCTACCTACAGTGCTGAGATTAAAGGAGATCTAAACCCTAACTGATACATGGTGTTTTAGCAAGCTCAATGTCTAAACAATTGCACACTTTTTATTTCCAAGGAATTTTTTAACCTTTCTTCCAGTTTAGTGCTGCTGACATCTTACTCATTGACACTGCATAATGACAAGAAGACTACAATCTGCAAGTACACCCAGAGCCTTAACTAGGGATGTCCCGATACCGATGCTAGCATCGGCATCGGGCCCGATACAGGGCATTTTGACAAGTACTTGTACTTGTCAAAATGCCCCGATGCATAGCGCCGAAGCTTGCGCTGTTTTTTTGTTTTGTTTTTTTTTCTTACCTTCCGTGCCGTGGTGGCTGGGGTCCTCTGGGAAAGCTGGAGGAGTGTCACGTCACTGCTGTGGGCGGAGCTCCAGGTGGGGGTCTAATGTAGTTGGCCGGCGACCTGGAGCAGGAAATCACTGGGCCCCATAGGAAAAGTATCGGTAATTGGTATCGGCAAGTACATGAGGGCCAGTACTTGTACTTGGACTTAAAAAAGTGGCATCGGGACATCCCTAGCCTTAACCATCATTGACTTCTCTAAATAACATCAACCCCCTCAAATTAAATGTAGCAAGCATATTTTATTCCCCAAATATATTAATATACAATTATACATTTTAGCAGGGCCGGTGCTGCCACTGGGCAAACTAGGCAGCCGCCTAGGGCGCAGCCTTGACCACTAACCCCCCCCCCCCCACCGAATTTTTTTCAATCTTTTTTCTACCCCAATGTTGATCCCCTTCAGCCTCTTTCAGCCATTTTCTGTCTACATGCACTCCCTCCAGCATCAGTAGTGTCAATGGTAGTCCATGCTTATGCAATGTGAAGTGACACGGATTCTTTCAGTCTCCACCAGGGGTGCATGTGACAGGGTGACAAAGCAGGATCATAACTCAGGGACAGTTGTCAAACCATAAGATGGATTTGCTAAACAAAGGCCTTCATATCAGGATCACAGGTATTATTTTAATGAAAGCTGCAGGTTTTAAAATATTGGGTTTAGATGTACTTTAAGAACAAGCAGCCCACCAGTAGAGCCAAATGTTTATGTGAAAGGTACATTAGAGATCAGTCAGGCTAAAGGAGCATCAGATATCTTAATTTTCACTATTGCCACAAAGGTGCCGTTATTCATTAAAATTAACCTTTCACTAAAAAAAAGCTAGAACACTTATTTGCTGATGCCAAAAACCATTTCCTTCTCCTCCTAGTATCTACCTTTTCATTGGCTAAAACAGAAACACTCAAGCTTGAATATGCAAAAAAAGTGCAAAAGAAAAAAAGCTTCAAAATCCCCTCAAAGCCAGCAGTTTATTTCCTTAAATTTGCATAGAAAGTCCATTTACACCAAGCCTGTCCATTGCACTGCATTTAACACATGTGTGTTAATAGGCACTATGTTGCACATTAATGTGCATTGCATTCATTCATTCATTCGAGTGGGATTCGAACATGCAGCAATGGACTGAAAACCAGGCCTCCACTATTTTTTCTTAAGGCACTGCCTGGCAGTGTGTTACCATGCATTGTGGTATGTTAGGGTGCCAACAAGAATGAATGCACTAATGCATGTATGGTGCATTTCTGTGCATTGCAGCAATGCATGAGTTACCACAATGTATACAGCTAACAGTTTGAGCATCACCAACATAAAGGGAGACAATACAAGAGTATTAGGAGGGCCCTGCTCCTGAGAGCTAAAATTTTAAATTAACACAGTGGGAAAAGTTCAAATTCAATCTTTCAGATTATTTCTGTCTATGCCCCTATAGCACCAGTGGAAGAAAAATGGGTTGTTGTCTCCAATACATGGAGGTATGGACAACAATCAAAATATTTTTGGAAGTTCTAACCTTCTTCATGCCACTAGAAATGTATTTTTGTCTTCCTGTTTTCCATTAATTTCCTGCCAGTAAGGCCTTGTTTACACAAGTGGTAAGGGGGCAGTAAAACCAGAAAGTTGATGATTGGTTTTACTGCCCCCCAGGTACCTGAGGCAATGTCAGCACTGCGGCTGAATAGCGCTGTATACATTCCCATTCTTTGTGTTGCAGTGCGGCAAAAAATATATAGCATGTCATGCTTGACAGGCATGCTGCTTGTCAAACGCGATCATTGCAATGGGTCCTCACTGCAACTTTGCGAGTACATGGTTGGGGCGCATTATTGCAATAGAAAATCCCCACTGGGATGAAAAAACTGCATTCAGGAGGTGGCAGCATTGTCTCCTTAACGCTGGGCAGCTGCTGCTCCACCTTCCTCTGAAAAGTGATCCACTGCAGATCGTTTCTCAAACAGCAGTGTAGGCCTCCCATCTGAACTAGGCCTTAATCTCCCCAATAGGTAAAGAAATGGTATTAAAAAATCAACAGAGGCTTCAACCTATCTCTGCTGATGTTGGGCTTCACACAGGTAAAGTAAACGACATGATAGGGCAGTAGAACGGTTTGCATTTCACTAGGAAAGAAGATAAAGTACAATACTTACTTTAGGAAACTGTTTAATAGGGATTAGTACTTTTTGTGCCAGCTTCATGTTCTTATTAATCACCACATCAATATATTGGTCTTCGTCAGTGCTGTCTGTGTTCTCTTCCCCCTTCTGTATTTTTTCAATTTCTGAAAAAAAGAAAAGAAAAAAAAAATCAATTTAAAAGGTTTTAGAGGGCATCAGGTCTTCTGATATACTGTATAGTGACAATGTTCCACAGCACCGTGCAGAGACTGCGGCAATCAGAACAGTGCTAGTGGCAGAAACAAACACAATGTTATGTTAGCCAGAAGCCGAACATCCTACCAGAATGTTTTAGATTATGGGAGAAAGTCTGCAGCACCCTCACTAATATAGGAACTAAAACTGGCTTTGGATGAGCATACTCCCAAAATGGGTCTCACCATGCAGCTAACCCAACACACTGCAACTACAGGTGAAACTCGAATTATTAGAACATCGTGCAAAGTTCATTTATTTCACTAATGCAACTTAAAAGGTGAAACTAATATATGAGAGAGACTTATTACATGCAAAGCAAGATAGTTCAAGCCGTGATTTGTCATAATTGTGATGATTATGGGGCGTGGCTTGGCTATGGCGGCGTGAGGAAGCACATTGCTTGAGCTCTGCTACCCCAAGAGACTTTTTCAGCTGATCGAGACATCTTTTCAACCCGTTATTGAAGTCGTTTAAGGGCAAAACTCGCTCTGACAACAGCCAGCGCTCACAGACCTCTCTGCAGCGCTACCTCTCATCCCCAGCGCCGACAACCCGCAGCTCCTCCAGGACGGCCATGGCGTCTGCCATGCAGGGTAAGGCCTCGGGACATGCTTCTCCATCCCACCCCTGTGACGCCCACGCCCCGGACGCCTCCATTCTGCTGCGGGCATCCTCCTCTACCCCCGGTCCCAGCCCAATCGAGGACCCGGTCATCCCGCTTACCACGTCCTCACAGCCACACTCGGACACAGCCGCGGCCCTGTCTGCAGGGGAGATTTCCTCCATTCTCCTCTCTCTTCCCACGCGCCAAGAAAATTTCTGACTTTGTATTTTTATTTTATTTTTTATTATCTGTACTTCCCTTTTCCCCTATTATGTTACCCCTGGAAAATTGTGAAAAACTTCTTTAAATAAAGAATTTGTAAAAAAAATTATTGTGATGATTATGGCTTACAACTCATGAAAACCCCAAGAACCCCAAATCCACAACCTCAAAAAAGTAGATTACATGCAATCAATAAAACAAGGATTGTTCATAGAACAATATCGGACCTCTGAAAAGTACAAGCATGCATATGTACTCAGTACTTGGTTTGGGCCCCTTTTGCAGCACTTACTGCAATTACTTTTGCACAATATTCTAATTATTCGAGTTTCACCTGTATGTTCCAATGTGGATGTCTCATACAGGATGGAGCTACATTACAGGCCAGCCCCATATCTTCTAATGTTGTCCTTGTGGGGTCCGTGCATGGCCTTGTATGCTCCTGCGTGGTGCCCCAATCCAGAAATTGCTCCATCGCTTCTGTGGCTGTGTGCAGCCAAAGATGCTTGAATGAAGACACCATCAGGTAACATTTAGCTAACATTCTCTCAGATACTATACATGTGCATCATCTATGGGCACTAGCAACAAAAAAAACTAGGGAATGTAGAAGGGATCTAAGATAGGATGTAGGATCCTACAGCTCTGGCCAGTATCCAGTCACCTGGCAGTACCACCATATTACCCAGACTACTTTGATTCAGCCTGTGTCCTGTACTGTATGATGAAGAATTAAATAGATAACTCTGTATTTACTGATGGTGTCCTGGAGAGACTTTAAATTAGGTTCCCAGCAGATGCCATTGCTGCAAGTTGTCAGTGTAAAGTACCAATTGATCTAAATTCATTCCAGGTGTATGAAAAACAAAAGCTGTGCAATGCCTTACAGTTTGTTTGTTTTTAGAAATCAGCCATGGCCATAGTAGAAAAGCCTGTATGCTGCAGAGAAGAACCTCTTCTCTTTGTGTGGAAGCAGTGGCTCTCCAATCAACAGGGAGCATGAACTTTGCTGATTGCAAAACTGTAGGTCTGATTTCAGCAGCTGGAGACTCAGTAGCAGAGGTTGGACCACTGCTTCCCCACAGTGAGCAAGGCTCCTTTTCTGCAGCTGCTGGCAGGGAATAGGCTTTTCTACTGCATTGATTAAATGCAACTAGGATGTATTTAACCTGAACTGGGTAGATGTAAACCCTAACAAGGTGCAATTTAGTTTGTTAAAGCATTGTGTATCATAAACAATTGCCACTTTTTTTCTTTTAGATGATACTGCTTTCACTTTTGATCATTTTTTTGCATCTCATTTCTGATCTCCTGCGGCCTCTTCCTGTCTACATGCATTTGCTCCTGCAGTGTTTGCACATTATTGCTCTGGACGAGCTTCCTGATTGTGACAACAGTGGAACATTTTTGCAGGGCGAGCTAAAGCTCAGCAGCCTAATGTCTCCATCACAAGCGTATGAGGCTAAGGGCATAAGAGAGCAATTGGAAGCCAAGGGCAGTGTTTTGTCACCTTATAACAGGAAGTACCTAAACAGGAACCCTTACACAATCACCAGGTAGAATTTTAATGAAAGCCACAGATTTAAAAAGATTGCCAACAAAGATTAAAAAGCACATTAAGGACTTGAGTTGATGGCCAAATGCAGCTTGTTTTTAGGTGCATTGAGCTTACATTGACAGGCACATTTAACTGGCAGTTGACCTCTCTCTAACCTGCAGTTGACCTCCTTTTAAGCTGCATCAATCGGATCCAAGCCGTTTTGTATTCCTATTAATTTATATGGAGATACAAGTAAATTTTGTGGATTATAGGCAATACAAAATTCAAAGCATTAATCTGTAAGGGGGCTGTAATAGCAGTGACGTATTGCAGTCTCATGTAATGTTTCTCCAGTCTATGATGTAATGCAGATACCAGCTGCACACCATACGGTGGGTGCTGCAACCAAAGTACATAGGGTGGTGCACAAGAGTGGATAGCCCCGAGTTGGGTTCCAAGGTAAAGGGAGATAAGTCACCAGCACTTAGTTGGTCAAGATGAAAACATACAGGGTTATTCACTAAGCTGCCAAAGGCAGCCCAGTGAATAACCAAGCTGAAGTGAACAGAGCCGAACGACGTTCGGCTATTCACTCAGGCTCAGTGCGGCTGATTGCGGCTGATTTCAGCTGTACATCAGCCGTACATCGGCTTCCTTCGACTGCTTTCAGTCAGGCGAACACGCTCTGCATGTTCCGCTAAGCTGTAGTGCAGAGGGAGTTCGACTCAGCCGATTCAACATCTGGATTGGCCAAACCAAAGCTCCGTCAGCTCACTCGCTGCAGTTTGCCCTGAGTCAATAGCCGAATGTTACTGAACGGCATTCAGCTCGGCTATTCTGCTTGGTACCTCCGTGGTACCGAGCAGAATAGAAAATCAGTGAAAAGAGTGGGGGAAAAAAAAGGTAGAAAAAATATTTAACAAATGTAAACAAATAGTAAAATTAAAAAATAAAGAAAGATATAAAAAGAAAAACAATTGGGCAGAGCTAGCAGTGACAGCTAGCTCTGTTTGCTATCGGCCGGCACCTGCTAGAGTCCTCTAGCACAGTGGTTCTCAACTTGTGTAATCTTAGGACCCACATTTGTCCTCGGTCATTAAGTCCTGACCCAAGTCGCACTGCAATGGAACGCACGGCAGTGTGGGCTGCTGTGCTGTGATGGAGCTCCATCCATATGTACATTGCTTATACAGCTCCCATATGTGCCTGTAGAGGTGCCGTGAGCCAGAATGTGATGTTACTCTGGTCCAGGTACCTCTATAGGACAAGCGTGGGAGCTATAAGCAAAACGTATGTATGGATGGAGCTCCCTCGCTGCCATACCCCCATCCCCCCCCACCTCAAGCTTACCCGGGGTGCCGAGCAGCATATTTTGAATGGCTGCTCGGTTTGAGACAGGTCTGCGCCAGGGGGAGGCTGAAGAGCCTCTCACCTAGAAAAGTGGAAAGCATGCGGCGACCCACTGAACACTGGGTCGCAACCCACTTTTGGGTCACGACCCACCAGTTGAGAACCAAGGCTCTAGCAGGTCCCGGCCAAATGAAAAACAATTGGGCGGAGCCGATCGTGACGTCATGGCCTGCTCTGCCCAGTTGTTATTGTTTAATGATAGATCAGCATCCACAGGTCATTTGCGGACGCTGATCTGCCATTACAAGTGGGCGGAGCCAGCCGGGAGATCACTGTTGGCTCCTCCCAGCTGTCATTTGCAGAGCGAACGGCCGGCATTAGGCAGGTCATTCACCTCGCTTCGGCTCAGTCAAGCTGAAACTGAAGGGCTCTGGCGGCCGCAGAGAGCCGAAGGATCAGCCGAAACTACGGCTTTATCTCTGTAAAAAATAAGTCAAGGCAACTGGACTTGCTGTATTTTTCTTGAAGACGTTTCACTGGTCATCCAACCGGCTTTCTCAATTCAGAATGACTTGTACAAAAAATTATCTGGGAATAATGGCTGTATCCTCAATAGTTAATAACCGCCATAATCTTGTTTATACATCCTATAGGTCCTAATGCCAACATTTCAGGGCCACACAGAATCATTGTGTCACCGAACGATTGAGTGCTGGTGACTTATCTCCTTTTATGCAGTCTATGGCTGTCGCCTGAAACATGTTTCCAAAATCCAACAACTCCTTTAGCATATTTGCAGTCACTAACCCTCTCCTGCAGCAGGTCTGAAGCCTATGACCATGTGATATTGCATGTCTTTACAGTTTTCTGTAGTATTGCATTCAATGAATATTATGTGTGGATCTTTGATATCCGGGGTCACACTTTTGTCCCCCCTTGATTAAGAAAGTTGACCACCACTGCTTCATAATTGCACCTGCCACAGCATTACACTATAAAGTCAGCGGTGCCCATGTTATACTCTTCTTAGCCCTTGTCTCCTGCAGCCTGAAACAGTCTCATTTAAAAAAAAAAAGGGCTGAAAATAATTGTTGTAAGCAAATAGAGAAAAAACAACTTTATCACAATGACAAATGGACATGAAAAATAGAACAGCGCGCTGCATTGTTGACATAAGTTTCAAACAAAAT